GAATCAGCACACTGAGCAAGGAGGAAGTCCACATCAATAACGCAATTCGCGAATCTAGAATAAAGCAAAAATCAGAGGAGCTGGGACAACAAAATGAACAGAAATGAAGCGATTCCTCAGGAGTTTGTTGAAAGAATTAGGTATATTCCTTTGACCCACATTTTCCAAATTACTGCATTAACTACCACTGAGAATAGCTTCATTGATATACATGAAGAAAGAGAGATAAAGGAAAATGAATCTGCTCATCGTTTAATTATTATCTTATCATCAGTGCTGCATCAGGTCAGCCGAAGTATGGTTACAGGAACCTCGGTGATATCAAAAAATAAAGCTAGAAATTACTCAAACATGAATTCGAAAGCAAGAAATGCTATAGCAAAAACATAGAAATACTATTCAGCCGTCAAGTACGTGGGAGCTCCAATAATCGACAGAAGGGGCGAAAGATGATATCAAGAGTGCCAGGCTGAAGCACACGCTGAGGAAAGTTCGACAAGGAGGTCGTATTGGAGGCGAAACCACAGTGATATAGCAGGCACTGCAGGCACATGAGCGCGGCAAAAAATGATAGTGCCAAGAATACTGCGAAAAGCGTCAAAATAGTCAAGGATAGCAAACATAGGAAAAGGTAATGATCATCAGCATCAGTAGATGGCAGCCGACTGTAATATCGAAAGCGGCAGTAAACTGAGGGCAAACCAAAAGAGTAATTGAAAGGCAGCTTGAAAACAAATGAATTGTTGAATGAGCAATTTAATTCGATAAACCGCATGGAAGGAAACATTATGGAAACTCTAACCTCGTTGTTTAACATCTTCGCGACTACTCTTTTTGAGAGTTTCGTTGATGCGTTGCCGATGTAAAGGACCAACGACGACACGATCAATGTGATTACAGTTACTCGGACGGCAACAGCACATATAAGTGGGGGAACCGTCTGGAATTCAAATGAAATGTCTGAAAAATGAGTGAAAAAATCGGAGAAAAATGAATTACGTATCCAAACAATTCAAACAAGCTTCTGAATAGTATCGTGGTTGGTATACCGCTCCAGAGAATTACGGAGAGCAATTTAAAAAAAAGAAAGAGAAACGGTAAATCTACTTCGAGACGGTTGGAACACCCGATTGCCGCTGGAGCACACGTCAGGTCCTGAACAGGCATCTTGTACGACATTCCAGCAGCCTAAATTGCAATTTTAAAATTTCGCAGGGCAGCCGTTGCGTGAAAAAGAAGAACAGCGACGACGTTATCATGGGAGTGGTATGCAAAAATTTGCAAAGTGGGAACTTACAAGCAATTTGCAAATAATAAGGCAGAGGTAGTGAAAAAGCTAAAGGAAACCCATTCAAGCAAACGATCGGTCCATCCCACTAACTACAAGACTACGATTAGTCTCCAGAAAGATAGAGGAAACGACTTAATAAACAACCAGCCACCCGCAATTGTGAAAATTCAGGGGCTATTCCAATGTCAATGCGATTATGAATGGGAATAGGATGCATGCGCTCCCTTGGAGCATTGGTGGATGCCGTTCAATTGCACAATTCCATTTCGCACATCGTATGATCAGAAGCCCACTTTACCCACCTTGAATGAGCATTTCACTCTTATTCTCACGAACTGTCCAAATGGCAACACAGTGCGATTGTGGATCCACACACTGCACAGAAACAGGAGCAATTGGCACTGACTCCTGGAAAGGGTTATTTCGATGGCTTCCAGTGACCCTGGTTTCTTTCAGCTGTACAGTGTTAAACTCTGGCCGTGAGCTACTATAGCCCTAAGAGTTTATAGCAATCCCATGATCTAGTGAATAGAAAATAAGTGGATTAATGTTCACCAATGTTTACCATTTTCACGTTCACCGCTCCATTAGCAACATCGGTCTACCGCCAAAAGGTCCCGTCGTCCAATTGCTACGCGTGAACAAACTAGGACATCAGACTCTACACGGACTTTATCAACGGGAAAGGAGATGTAAATTGAAAAATCAGCAAATAATGAGGGTTAGTGCCTTTAAATTCGCCTGTGATGCTCCATATTCACCACCTTGCTAGAGCAGACAGAAAGCGCAGAGCTCATTTTGTGATATAGCTGTTTTTGCACGAAAAACCACTTTTTTTCTGTTAGAATAAAGCTAGCTTTTCATCAACTTACCACTGTGGTTACCTAAAACTAAAAGTTCGTTTCTGTTGTTGCTGGTGGTTAAAGGAAATCTTGCGCGGAAAAATCATGATTCTATTTCAGCCATAAATCACTGGCTTGAGACTCATTATCCACGATAATAGTGAAAAGAACTGAAGTATTGCTTTCGTTTTGATTAGAAATTCGAAAACTCGAAAAGGCTGCTACGCGTTCGAATTGCCCACGGACGTCTTTCACGAATGCTGGCGACGGGGATGCTCAAACTTGGTTCTTGGAGTGCATTCACTAGAAGCTCTTTCTGGCCTTCTGCTTCGTTGCATTCACATCTTACACTTCTACTCCATCCTATTCCATCGATCGATGTTGTCTATCACTTGCGAAATCGCATCGCTTGAAAGGCATTGTTCATAGTTTGCGCCACGAGAGGAGGACGCTCGAACCGAACGAATCTGCGCAAATGCGAAATGAATGAAGTGCGTATCGATCCACAAAATGGGAGGGGCTTCGAATCGCGCATTGGAATCTGCGAATCCTCTTGAAAGGAATTAGTGTCTATCGATCAGTCAATCGGAGATCGCAGCATCGAAACGGCGGTGCGAAAATCCTCTAGCAACGCTAATAGGGCGTGGTTTACTACGTCGATACGTATCTAAACCTTTTCGCATCCGCGTTCGCGCGTGCGCGGATTCACCTGGTCGATACGTATCTTTTTCTTTTCGCAGATTCGAATATTCCGATGGTTCCAAAACTATGAACAATGCCTTAACACATTGACGACCGCGCGCGTTTTGGCTTTTTTGGCCGTGTGGGACCGGGCCGATTTTGCGAGTGCGACCGCCGCACCTCGGATCCGTGAATTTTTATTGATAACTTTTTAAAGCACCAGTGGTACAAAAACATCTCAGTAACAGTCAATGCGCGTAGAGGTAATAGAGTATATAGTGACGAAGTTCCGATTAAAGAACATGTAATGGTAATGAAAAAGGAAATTTTAGTCATTTTATCTGTAGTGGATGCCAAAAGCTCTTTTGATGTGGTTATACCAAGTGAAACATGTATTTTTCTGTCTCTTTAGATTTGCATTTACTTTCACTACCCTTTTTTATTGACGTGTTCATGAGAATAGCATGAAAACTATTAATGAACCAAGCCGCCGGTTTCGGTGAGCTTGGAAAACTTCTTCTAAACTGGAGCATATTTGAACAAACAATGACCTATGTCGTTCACAATAATGTTATGTTCTAATCCATAGAAGAGAGACAAACAATTCGGGAAAAAGCTGCGCATGCCCTAGAAAAAGGGATGATAAGGGTGAGACGCGGTAACGCGTCTCAATGTCCAACGAGGTGCGCAAAGTGAGACGCGTTACCGCGTCTCAATGTCGTCAATGTGTTAACCCGATTCTCTCATTGCGTCGCCTGGTACGTAGCCGGCCAAACGCCGTCTTCTTTCCATGCCTCGCCTGGCTCTGCCTCCTGGTCCTTCGATGGTCCATAACGTGTAGTTTTTGTACGTTTGTTTCTCTTCAGAAACCGAATCTTCATGCGTGAAACTTTGTGTGCTATTTCCAGTGATCACAACTGACATATTCATGTTAGGAAAGAGTGCAAGAATTTTCCGCGCAAGATTCCTTTAACGCAAACAACTGGAAAGGCTGTTCTTTAGAAGCCATCTGCCTGATAGAACAGATGTATGCTTTTAACATTGAAAGCTAGCCAGATGTAGTGCATCAGACAACGATCGCTAAACTCAGAGACTTTCCCAATTTGTTTGCTTCAACAGCACAATCAGTTCGGGCATTTCTTTACTATCATAGGAACGAAATTAGTAAATAACCTGAAGTCAGTAATCACGACAAACTACCGATACCCATCAAAGAATAAGCACTAGGTCATACTGAACTTTGTACTATCAATCAACTTTTATTAATGCCACACTTTTTTCAAAATTTTCACCGTTGTCTTCGACAACGCCACAATCGACACCGCTACTGTCAAAGTACAGTTCACCCACACCGCTCAAGCAAACATCGATATCAATTTAGCTGTTGACTCTCAGTCCTATCCTGAGGTGAAATAAATCGAGAATTTAAAAAAAAACGCGAACCTTGTGAAGCCACTTCTGAGACGCATCCAATAGGAATGACAATAGCTAGAAGAAATCGGAATATCATAGCGCATGTTTAGCTGAAAGCTGAATATTTGAACTTATGAAGAAGACAACAGC